TTAAAAAAAAAAAGAAGGCCCAGGGAGCAATAACTGCAGGTTCAAGAGGGGGGAACAGCTCAGAAAAGGAGGGTGGAAGAAATGGAGCCAGTGCCAGGAAACTGCACGGAGAGGGAGTTAAATTGGTGTATGTTCTGCTGGGCACAATATCAAAATGAGTCAAGCTTCTATCACATGGCAAATGCTTACTGGGACAGTTTCTGCCCAGTCCTGACCCCTTCTGGAACCAGCCAGGCCTAAAGGCCCTCGAGGCAGTAGGCCAGGGGCTAGGCTAGGAGAACTGTGGATGTGCAGAGCAGGCCTCAGGCTGTGACTCTATCTGGAGATGGGGGACCCTCCCCACGGTGTCTCACTGCAGCCTGTAGGCCCTCACCCCTGTGAGTGAGACTGGGATGGAACAGAGTCTGAGGCCTGGGGCAGGCCCTGGGCGGGCTGCAGGGAAGGGCCCATCACCGTCCCGTCAACCGTCAACCTCAACACCTTCCTTCTAGGGTGAGGATGGGACAAAGGAATTCAGGGACATGTCAGCACGTGCCCCAGGTGACTCGGCAGCCTGAGTGTGCCTGGGCGGGAATTCTGCTCCACACCTTCCTTTTCTATGATGCCCTAAAGGGAGGAAGTTTCATCCCATCTGAACAGCTTCGGGTTTTCATTCAGAAAGTCTAGGGTCTTGGCCATCCTGTCAAGACAAAAAGGCTTACAGAAGAGTCCTCAGAAAATCTTCCCACCCAGCTTCTAAAATAAACCCTCCTGGAGCACTTTTTGGGTGAGCGTAAGAATTTTGGGGCTCCTTTCTGTGCTGAACCCCTCATTCTCTACCTCCTCCAAGCAGACTGGAAGTGATTCAGAGATGGTCAGTCCAGCTCAGTCCCTTGTCCTCAAGCCCAAAGCCTAGTCATGGGCCCAACGCACACACAAGACAGCTGGGTGCCACTGAACAAGAATGAACATAAAAATATTTCTTTAAAAAGGGCTATTGAAGATAGTGGGTTTCTTGCTGCTCACAATCCTTCTTGTGTGAAGTTCTCTGGGATTCCTCTCTCAAATTACGTTCTAAAAAACACTTTCGGCTTGATAATGAAAACTGTGAGACAACTTATTTCCCTTTTCACCATGGCTCCTGGGAAGCTCTGAATGGAGTTTTCCTTAACCTAAGTTTCTGTATTAATAATTACTATCCCATCTCTCTTTTAACATTTGGCTCTTGGTCTTTTACCCTTACTCTGCTTTGATTCTGTCTGTATTTAATACAACAGGCTGAACAAAATAACACTGGAGGGGAAAACCCTGCCACCTTCCTCAGCAGCAGAAGGCCGGGGCATGTGGCAGGGCTTCTGGCCCTCACCTTGGCTGCTCTCGTGTTTCAGCCAGGACCGGACAGGGTTGAACGGGATCGTCTCCATCTCACAAAGGTAGTTCTCTGGGCCCGACGACACGGCCATGTTGGACAAGGGGATGAAGCATTCAGCCAGGTCCCCCGTGCGGATGGGCTCAGGAGGGTCCGGCTCAGCCTGCAGGAAGGGACGTAGAGAAGATAGGGCGGTGGGGACCCAAGCTTATCACAGCTCCCCTCCTGTTCCTGTTCCTCGGCGCTTTGCTCATTTTCCTCCCTGCCTGCAAAGCCCTTCCGCTCAACTCCTCCACTTAGTGAACAATCATCACCGTCCAAAACTCTGAAGTCCCAGTCAGTCAGTGGTCCCCCAAACACTCCCCTTGTCTGTGAGGACAGGGAAAGATCTTCCTGAGCCACACACCCAGCACAGGCCCTGCCCACCACAGAAGCCAAGCCAAGCCTGGAAAAGGCACCAGGAGATGGCCACAGAAGCCGCCTCAGAACAGGTCCCTTCCCTCTGCTGAGCCTCAGTTTCCACACCCACAAACCAGGAGGGTAACCCTCTTCCAAGGTCTTGCACGCAAGTGCTGTCCAGCGAGCACGGAGTGGCCGTGGTCCTTCCAGCCCCACCTCCAACCCCTCAGCCAGAGGTGACCTCACCCCAAAAGCTCTGGGGTGAGCTTCCTGAATGGCCTGGCCAGGAGGTAGACAGACACCTACCCCCAGACCCAAATACTGCTCTCTGAGTCTTACACGTGTGTGACCTAGATTAACCAGACTGCACCCCACCTAAACCCCAGCCTGGCCCCAGAAACTGTGCACCCTGACATCCTGTGTGGGATGCAGGTGTGGGGAGATGCAGGAAGGGGCTGGGGGGAAGCTGTCAGAGATGAAAGTGTCAGGGAGGTGAAACCATTGTGGGCTTCCTGAAACAAAGGGGACCAGAGAGGATCTACATCTCCTCACTTCCCCTTCACAACTGAAGGAAGACAGCCCAGGGGTCCTGGGACAGGTATTCCTTGAGAGCAGGGCCACTGCTCCCCAGCCTATGAGAGCTTGCCCCTCCCTGACACCAGGACAGGAAGGACTTGGCCCTGAGGTCAGAAGCCCCGGGCAGCTCTCTCTCCAGCCTGCATCTAAGCCCCGAGCTGTGCAGGAGCTGCACACAGTAGTGCTGGCCCCTGACACAATTCGTTGTTCTCTTAGCCTCACAGACACCTCCTCTAAACGGATAGAGGCACTCATAGCAACAAGGGAGAGCCAAGACTTCTGGGAGACTGGGCTGGAGCCGCCTGGGCTGGGCCCACTGCTGTGTGACTTTTGGTCAATTATGTACCCTCTCTGAGCCCCACTGCCCTCAAATGGCCAACAAGAAATGAGGGCCCAGCACAGACTGTAAAGACAGGAAAAGCTGCATCCCAGAGGGTGGGGACCAGGTTCAAGGACAGCCCATCCTCACGCCCCAGCCTGTGCACCTTGCTGTCTTTGCGCCCAGGAGGGCAGGCTGTGAGGTCCTCCAGACTCAGGTCATCCCCCAGCAGGATGGATGAGGACCGGTCGGAGTTCAGGGAGAAGGCCTCCGTCTCTGCCAGCTGCACCTGCAAGGGAGTGGGGCTTGGGTCAAGCTGGGGCAGGGGCGGGGCTGGGCTGGTCACCAGAAAGACAGGAGGTAGTGGGCAGAGAGGCTCAGTCATGTAGGCTGAGTTTCGTTAGAAGCCAGTCAGGTGCCAGGTCTGGTGGCCACAGCTGCTCTGCTTGACCTACACCAGGCGACCCTCTAGGACGGTCCCACGCCTCTCTGTCGCACCAGGCTCTCTGGTCACCGCAGGACAGGCCAGGAGCATAAACCCCAGAACCAGACACACTGCCATCAAGTCAACTGTAACTCACAGTGACCTACAGGACAGAGCAGGGCTGTCCCGTGGGGTCCCCAGTGTTGCCATCTCTGCAGAAGCAGACTGCCACCACATCTTCCTCTTGAGAAGGTTCTGGTAAAGTCAGATTGCCAATCTTTCACATAGCAGCGAAGTGCTTAACCACTGCGCCACCAAGGTTCCAAGGGCCGTCAAACCTCCCAAGAATGAGAAGCTGGAGCCCGGCCCCTACCAGAAACTTCCTTGGCACTCACCCAAGCAGGGCTAAGTCAGGCCCTCCTTGCAATCACGGGGGCCGGACAACCCTGGGAAGGAGTTGACAAGCAGCCTGTGTGAGCTGTACCAGGCCAAGCCCCTCGGGCTGCCCCCACTGCAGGCCAGAGTGGACTCAGGATGGGACCCCACTCAAGCTCAGGGCTCCAGAACCCAAAAGAAGGTCACATCACAAAAAGGACACATGTCCTGAGGGCCAGCCCAAAGGGGGCCTGGCAGTAGTTAGGCCACATGAGGGGCCTGCGCTGTGCAGACAGCAAGGTGACCGAGGCTGGGGCTGTTCTGCCTGCCCACCGGCCTCCTGTGTCTCCCCCACAAGGGTCCTCACCTCCTGCTTATCATGATGGCACTTCTCACAGCTGGCCGTCGACGAGTAGTGATGGAAGACGGACCCGGACAGGTTGTCGATGATGGTCAGCTCGCCCTCCAAGGAGTCCTTGATGATTAAAGAGACGCTGTCCAGCCACAGGTTCTCCTAGGCGGACGGGGACGGGGCGTGGACAGGGGGATTATGGCTGGGTCGGGGACGGTGGGGTGGGTGGCACGGCTGCCCTGCCCAGTCTCTGCACCCGTGGCCTGGACCCGTGGAGCTGGGCAGGGACCGAGAGGACATCCCCTCAGGAACCACCCTTGGAGACCCCTGTGCCCTCACCTGGGCTGGAGAGTAGCAGCAGCGGTGCAGGCGGCCGTCAGGGTCACCCCCACCAGGCCCGGGCCCGGGCGCCCCCGGGGAGCTGGCAGGTGGCCGTGGCCCGGGGCCCAGGCCATGGGACATCTCCAGCTCAATCTCCGCGTCCATCTCGGCGTCCTCCTGCGCCTCCTTGTTGCTGTCGTCCAGGTGCTTCATGAGCACGGCCACCACCACGTTGATCAGCACGAACTGGGCCGTGAGCACAAAGCTGACGAAGTACAGGGGGGACACGAACTGCAGGCTGCTCAGGCAGCTCCGCTCGTCGTGGGTGCAGTCCCGGAGCGTGTCCTGCAGGGGCAGGGGGACGGCGTGAGGGCCACGCCACCGGCCAGCCAGGGCCCGGGGCCTGCTGCCTTCATACTGTGGTCGAGGTGCCGTCGAGGCAAGTACGGCTCACAACAACCCTACGAACAACAGGCCTGAGCCTCTCCTGTGCCAGCCTCATCGTCTCTGACACGCTTCAGTCCATTGCTGTAATCACCGTGTCAATCCAACTCGAGGAGGGGTCTTCCTCTCTTTCACTGACCCTTCACCCTTCCGAGCCAAGGAATCACCTCTTATGGGGGAGCAAACTGAGGCTGGGGGGCGGTCCAGGACCAGACAGAGGTGGCAGTGCAGGACACACAATCCATCTGGGGACTCCTGAACACCCCAGACCTTTCCGGCTTGTGGAGGCATCTGCTGGCCTCAGGTTTGACTCTGCCCCTAGGTACTAACCCCTCGCAGACCTTAGAGAGCTGGCCTATCCCCTAGGCAGCACTCAGGGCTGAGGTAAGGCTCTCCCCTGCTGGCCCCACAGTCACCACAGGCCCCAAGCGCTCACTACAGGCCTCACACGCTCAGTCCAGGCCTCACATGCTCACTGCAGGCCCCACACACTCACCGCACATGCTCACCGCAGGCCTCACACACTCAGTGCAAGCCCCACACGCTCAGTGCAGGCCCCACACACTCACCGCACATGCTCACCGCAGGCCTCACACACTCAGTGCAGGCCTCATGCATTCACCACAGGCCCCATGCACTCAGTTCAGGCCCCACGCGCTCACCACAGGTCCCACACAGTCACTGCGGGCCCCACGTGCTCAGTGCAAGCCTCACACACTCACCGCAGGCCCCACATGCTCACTGCAGGCCCCATGCGCTCAGTGCAAGCCCCATACACTCACCACAGGCCCTATGCACTCAGTACAGGCCCCACATGCTCACCGTACGCTCCACACACTCACCACAGGCCCTATGCATTCAGTGCAGGCCCCACGCGCTCACTCCAGGCCCCACATGCTCACTGCAGGCCCCACACACTCACTCCAGGCCCCACACACTCACTCCAGGCCCCACACACTCACTCCAGGCCCCACGCACTCACCACACATGCTCAACGC